CAGAATCTATCATCTCCAATAGAGATAGCCGATTCACATCCAAGTTTTGGATGAGCCTGATGCAACAGTTACAATTGAAACTACGGTTATCAACCGCTTTTCACCCTGAAACTGATGGACAGACTGAACGGGTGAACCAGACCTTGGAACAATACTTAAGAAATTATTGTTCATACCAGCAGGATGATTGGGCATCGCTATTACCTTTGGCGGAATATGCATACAATACATCCACCTCCGAGTCAACTAAGTTATCTCCATTTCAGATCAACTATGGCTTTAACCTACAGACCAACTGGTTGGGTACAGTCTCGGAGCAATAAAGTGTTCATTCCAGTAGCAAGCTATTGGTTAAGAATTGGGAAGGTGTCTGGCAAGAAGTCTGAGATACACTTAAGCGAGCTCAAGAGAGACAACGGAAGTGGCATGACCAGAAACGGTTGCCATCGCTGGAATACGTTACAATGGAAGATGTCACAAATGGCAGGGCAAAGAAGGCTGACCATGTGATGCTAAATCGGAAGAACATCCGGACTAAGCGACCTATGGAGAAACTGGACCACCCAATGTTTGGGCCCTTTGTGGTCAAGCGTAAGGTCGGTACCTGGGCTTATGAACTCCAATTGCCTGCTCGTTGGTTAATCCATCCGGTATTCAATGTCAGACACTTAGAACCCTATCGTGAGGACACAAGTGGTAAAAGGACTAAGGAAGTCCTAGTCCCCGAGATAGTAGACAATGAGCCCAGCTATGTTATTAAGGCAGTGATAGACAGTCGATGGTACGGAAACCTGGAAGCGAAATTTCCAAATCGCTTCGTACAGTACCTAGTTTCTTGGGAAGGCTATGGCGCAGAGGAGAACTCTTGGGAGCCAGATGAGATGCTAGAAGGCCCTGGCTTAAAAGCCATGACGGATTTCCACCATCGGTATCCCCATAAACCCAGAGACCATAGGGTTGTAGGTGAACCGAATCGGGGAAATAAAAGACGATATTAGCGGACCGGGTCGGTCCTTAGAGAAGAGGGGAGTAATATAACGACCCTACGTTATAGAGCTATGGTAACCTACGTCTATGCCCATACATAAGACTAAGAGGTTAGATGGTAGACGAGGCGGGTATGCAGGGCCATATCCGAGGGATATCTGATGGTCAAGATATCTCTAAGAACAGAAGGTACTTAAGGAAATAGTGTACCTAAGTAGTGGTAGTAATGTGACAATATCCGCTTTGGCCTAAGGATAGGACAGAAGGCCGGGTGAGTTTACCCTGTCTATGGAAGTCACGTTACCCTACCATAAAGGCCAGTTTCGTGTCACCATGGACATACTTACCCTACCTTTGGGACACTAATACCCTACCTTCCGTCGGAAACGTTCTCGGAAGAATTTCGGGAAATGCTAGGATTGCTTGTTACACAATGACAAGCAACGGACACTTGTTTGCGTTTTGATTGGAAGACTACGGGAGGAGCTATAGTGCTCCGAACAAGCTGTAACTTGGTAGAATTATTCCTAACAGGTACCCGCAGCCCCTGGGTTTGCCCCGGGCATCATGGGCCAAAATGGGTAGAGTTGCTGTCTTACTAGTTAAATGGAGTTCATGAAGACATGTCTATAACACTGTATACGTCGCTGCCGTCCGTCCGACCGGAGGCTGTTCGCAGGATATATAAGGGGATGAAGGTGAGAAGGTCAGGTACCTTCTCCAAAATGAACGGAGTAAAACAGACCAAAACTGACAGAGTTAGCGTGAGCTATCCGAAAGGGTCCCCAGAGTAGTCCCAGGTAGTACCGGAGACATCTGGGAAGGTTTTACGCCAATCAAGCCTACACATGCTCCTTTGCTGTAGGCTCTTTGTGGATTGGTTGAGGACTCTAATCGCATGATACTTATCACGGTGAGTGGTGTGTCGGGGGTAAGGGACCATGGGTAGCGCCCACGGGTCCCGCCGCCGCCGCAGCTCTCCGCAGGAGCACCGTAGACCCTGTAAGTTCGTACTCAAGAAAGATAGAGCTTAGCCAGGAGACAGTTGATGTCTACGGGAGCTTGCATAGGTCATAGCACATGGGAAGAGAGTCATTTAGTTAGCTTTCCTAGGCGTCTCGACAGTTAGCCACTGACGAGACACCGATGCGCAGAGGTTTTCACTCCGGCAGGTGTATTGGTAAACACCTCACAGGAACTGATGTGCATATAGGAGAATTCTGCTAGAGTGTGCTGACACCTTAGCCCTTAGGGGACACGGTAATGGTGCTGGGGCAACCCTTACAGAGAAGGACATACTCATGATAGTCAGGGTAACCTGATGGGGGAGTTTTTGGTATAAGTCTGACTACTTAAAGATTATACGAGAACTCTCCTACCCCAACAGAATCAACATCCTCTCGAGAGACTTTAATTCAGATAAGCCTGAGCTTAATGATATTAAGTTTTACCGTTTACTTTTATTCTTTACACTTTTGCAAGAGCTGTGTTCGAGAGATTCAAAGTTTGGTGCGGTCGCATCCTTAGGAACCATCTACCTGAGGGAGCCCCTGTTACACAAGGCTACTCCCGATAGCCCAGAGGACCACCATCCCAACTGACCGCTCAGCCCTCAGTAAGCCGCCAAAGTCGACAGTGCTGATGCTAAGCGAGGTGAAGCAACAGCAGGGTAGAAAGGAGAGAGACCTCACGATGAGACCCCCAGAGTGAGGAGAGGACCCCTATCCAGCAGTGGTGAGATGCTAGATGAGGGAAGGAGTAGAAGAGAGGCCCCGATGGGCCGAGGGATGGAAAGAAACAGCCTGCACCCCCCGGCGGGGGGGTGCATGGCTATAGAAAAGTGGTGATGATTCCTCGGTGTTGAGTTGTTCCCGATTAGGAAATATTTTTCAATGACCAGAGGTGTAGTGGAGACGGAGGATGTTCTGAAAGCTAAGGAGGCACCTCAATGTTTATATTCCGCGTCTGGGTGGTCGCAGGCTACATCTATCTATCACTAAACCATGTACCGTTCCTAATTTCTATCCCCTACTATCATACGGGGATTCCGTTTGATCCTGACAAACTTTGCGTCTTGCTCGGACTACGGTCTCTATGCGGTGTTGTCTTTCCGCACACGCGTTTGAAACCTCTCTGGGGAAAACGCATGATTCCTTCGTCTTGGAGGTTTAGATATGAGCCAGTGGTCTTACCTCCTGCCAACTCACTAGTCTCCTTACTCTGACTAGAGTGATCAGCTCAGTCGAGAGTCTTATCCAATGCCTCGTTGTTTTCACAACTTGACTGCATTGATTTTGAGGACTTTCCACTGCGATTCGTCTAGTCAACACCGTGGGAAAGTTCCTCATTTACAGAGAGGCCTCCGGTTGGCTCTACACTGTGCAAGCACTAGACTGGGCTCTGTGCCTCATCCTTACGGGCACGTCCCGATAACTCATTGGACTGTTGGTGATTCTGTCCCAACACTTTCTGTCCCTGTCCTAGGTGGTCAACCTCGCTTAACTCGTAGCTCCACAGTTACTGGTCGGATTGACTCCATTCCACTTTTCAGACATGGCCTGAGGTCCCCTCTTATATATCCTGCCAATAGCTTCCAGTTGGACGGACGGTGACCACGTATACGGTGTTATGAAGCATGCTTTGTTTTCACCGGTTTATACTGTCAGGACACCAAATTCCGGCGACACTATTACTGCGTGCAGGGCCACCAGCGGGGCCGGCGGGGGGTGTTGGCTATGAAATCTTCGCGGTTTTCAGGAGGTCTGTGCGCGGGAAGGTCTGTGTGTTCATATGTGTAACACTCCCATCCACAACTCTTTAGGCAAGCTTCTTCCGTGATAGCAATACTGGTAATTTTCCAGTAAACACATTAGATCCTTTTAAAATTGCTTGCTCTTGCTTTAATTGCAGTTTGATAAACAAACACACCTGATAGTGCTATAAGAAAAAGAGTCCTGTAGGTCTATTTTTGTTCATATTTCTTCACTGAGAAACCTTTTTCATAATTGCTTGAAATGCATCTTGGAGGATCCTCAAGTGGCGAGGACATGCATTCTGGTAGAACATTCGACGGCGAGGCCAGACTTTGTAGTCTAACCTGAATTGCTCAGCCAGTTCAGCTTCAGTGTCCTTGAGAATTCCTAGAAGAGTATTTTGTATAACTTGAACTTGCTCTCTAGTCTCTAGAGGTACCAGTTCTGGTTGTAGGTGCTGGGAAAAAGCTGAGGGAACAGTCTGTACAACTTGTTTGATGACCTGTAAAGGTGTATTGGCAGTCTTTGCAGCTGCTTGTCGTTGCTAAAGTTTACGCATACAGAGTGCACTTGGTGTGACTGGCTTTGAATGACTATTTTCTTTCTAGATATCTTCTATATTAGTCTTGTGAGTCTTTAAATCTCAAAACTAAGAGGAGAAATTGCCTAGGTCTGGTTTTGTCGTATTCTTGCTCGTCGTGCTCATGAACAGAGAGTATTAGGATTTACAGAAGTCTGTCCTGTATCTGCCATGGAATTTCTATTGCAACTCTAAATAAGTTGCAGATTTGGATATGAGGAAGGGGTGATAGAGAGAAAAATATTATTGGAAATTGAATTTGAGATTATTATTATACAGAAGTGACTGCTGAATGTAAACTCAGACTTCAGACCTGCCAAAAATTAAAATTCTGTATTCTACACCCCTTACCCTGATTACATAAGGCGTCACATTGTGCAACGCCGGTGGTCCACCTTTTAGACACCTCGCACCATACCGATACCATAATTATGAGTAAATTACGGTACAGTCCTGTACTGTATCATACTGTACCTATGATAAAGGGTTCGATAATACGGTAACCAGTAGACTACGAGTACTGTGTTAACATCCGCCCAGGGTTATAGGACAGAGTTACCCTCCTCCACCACTGCGCAAGATTTTGCCACTACCGAAACTTTTCGCCCCGCGCACAAACATCCTACGAGAAAGATAAAGTAAAAAAGCAATCTAGCCAGCTTCAACATCACATATACTATATGCCTGCACCTACAGCGCTCCGGGAACCAGGGACGGTCGCTGAACCGGTTCAGGTTCCAGAAAATACCGCGGGTAATTGATTTCAATCCTCTTCCTATTTGTGATTTTTATTGGTCCTGACTGCTTTTTATTCCGTGCACACAGAAGACGACGTTCTCATCGACGTTTTCGCTTCACCAGCACAGCCAGGAGATACCGCCGCAGTAGCGCGGGCTCCTAAAGATGTTGAAGGGGACGGTATGCAGATTGATGAGGAGGGACGACCGAAATTTAAGCCTGCGAGCGCAGTAGTGCGTGCCTCCATACCACCAATAACAGTTCCTAATAGCTAACTAATATGTCCTCCTCTAATAGAAAGTATTTAAAAAAGGCGAGAACCGTAAAGTCCCTATCCCGCCGCACCGCATGACACCCCTGAAATCTGCCTGGCCAAAAATCTACCTGCCCCTCGTCGAGCACCTAAAACTCCAGGTCCGCATGAACCTCAAAGACAAGGCTGTCGAGCTCCGTGCCTCGAAGGAAACAATCGACACTGGAGCCCTGCAGAAGGGTGCCGACTTCATCCGTGCCTTCGCGCTGGGCTTTGATACCGACGACGCAATTGCGCTGCTGAGGTTGGACGACTTGTACGTCGAGACTTTCGAGATCAAGGATGTCAAGACGCTGGTTGGGGAGCACTTGGGCAGAGCGATTGGCAGAATTGCGGGCAAGGATGGGAAGACAAAGTTCGCAATCGAGAATACTACAAAGACGAGGATTGTGCTGGCCGATTCCAAGATTCATATTCTTGGGGGGTTCCAAAATATTCGCATTGCGAGGGAGGCGGTTGTCAGTTTGATTCTGGGAAGCCCACCGGTATGTCAATTCTCCGCATTTCTCCTTCCTGCCCTTTTCACTTTGAATAATTGGTGGAGTGCTTGTATGCTAATGGGATATTCATGTAGGGCAAGGTATATGGCAACCTCAGAACTGTCGCCGCGAGGCAAAAGGAAAGATTTTAGACCGGGGGGAATTTCTTAAATAATAAGTGTTTTTCCCCCTTCCCTTTTGCTATTTGAGGCTTCTAAGATATTCCGGATTCCTTTATGGCGCATAGGTTGATTGTTGATTTGGGGGGATTGCATTTGCATCTTGTCCTTGCGTACCGTAAGCTAAAAATTGAGTTATGATAAATACTATTTATACTCCCTAGGTATCTTTATTTCTCTCGTCCTGTCATGTCATGCTCAGTGTGCATAAGTCACACCGTTTCACATAGGGCGACCGGGTTAAACTTCCTTTTATTCCTTTTTCTCTCCCTCTTGCCCTGCAAGTGCTGAGATTTCTCAGCTCCCCGGGTAAAAAAGCGGTTCTGGTACAATACGGCACAGATAAGATGCTTGTGGCGGCAGCGAGGGGTAATAAGTTTATCGAGAGATTGTAGTCCTTGTAGAGTTACCGTGCCCTAGAATTAAGGTCAAGTTTAGGTAGAAGCGTTGCCGGCAAGGAGCACGGAACTGCCTCGGTCAGCCTCTCGGTTCTTTGGATCACAGTACCGGTATTGTAGACTTGTTTATAGGTATTAGACAGTACATACAGTGCCGGTATCGGTAGTGTATTTGTTAGTGTGCCAGGTTGGGAGACAAAGTGTAAAACATCCTCAGCTTGTCAGTCCATGCTAGGTTATTAGTTAGTCTATGTCTTGTAATCTATCCGACACATTGGGATTCTCGTCTCGTTCCCCCGCCGGCCGGAGAGAGGGGGGGTCTGGAAGCAAGGGATACAAACGAGAGAATGCATGTCTATAGTCCAGGCTATGAGGAAGGAAAATAAGAAGGAAAGAGATGCATGTTTGTTTCGGGTGTAAGAAAGAACCAGAGAGCCACGGATAGCCAAAGAGAAAGGAAAAGGGCCAGGAGAGAAGTGAACAAGAAGAGAAGAAAGAGATCTCCTGAAGAGAAACTCTGCGGGCGTTTCAGACTTGCATCCTTCGAATTGGCTGGCGGAGCCGCAACCCTTCGTGCGAGCATCTTCAATTTCCCTCCCTCTACCGCTGTACATACTCTCTCACCTACATACCGTGCCTCGCCTTGCACCTACCTTACATTGTTAACCAACTGTCCTCCTCCCCCTCCCCCTCCTCCTCTGTCCTCAATTCCTTCCACTATATGCACGCACATGTATGTACTGGCAATGAAGACACTCTTTCCGCTCTCTCAACTTCACGCCTAGCTGCTGCTCACCTAAGTGTAACGATAGAATCGAAACCCACCGGCCATCCCGCTACAAAACTTCCCAAAATGCCGACCCTCGCTCCCCTCCCTGTGCGGCAGAATGGCCGGACGATAGATCGTCCCCGCACCCCTAGTCGACCTAGTACCTCCTCATCCTCAAAGGAGAATGAGTCCTCGTCGAATAATTCTGCTCCACTACCCTACGTATGGCCCCAATTTTCCCTGGGGGGCTGTTGGTCATGGATGGATTGGGGTAACGGTGGTTGTGGTCGTGGCTGTGATTGTGGTTGAGGTGGTGGTCGTGGTGGATGCATGAATGGCGGGGGAAATGGGAGTACTCTTTTGCTAATGCTGAGGGAGCTTTAGACTTTAGGTGATTGTCTTGGAAAGGGCGCTTTCGGATCGGTTTATAGAGCGCTCAATTGGGGGACTGGAGAGACTGTAGCTGTCAAGCAGGTCCGGCTGACAGATCTCCCCAAAAGTGAGCTTCGTGTGATTATGGTGAGTTATTTCTTTCTCTTGGTGGTGGTGGTTGTATTCTCTAGGGGCTGCTCCACTGACGCTTTGTTATGCATAGCTTGAAATCGATCTCCTCAAAAACCTCAATGTGAGTTTGCTCGGGAGGGGGAGGAGCGCTCCAAATTTTTATCAAAGTTTTTTTTTCTAACATCCGGAAGCATCCGAATATCGTCCAATACCACGGCTTCGTTAAAACCGCCGATTCCTTATACATCATATTAGAGTAGGGGCACTTCCTGTCTTCCAGGGGTCTATTCCATCGATCGTCCTGGCTAACCGGAGTGTCAGATACTGCGAGAATGGGTCCCTCCACAGCATTTGCAAGAATTTTGGAAAATTCCCCGAGAACCTAGTTGGGCTTTACATGACTCAGGTTCTACATGGGTTACTGTATCTCCACGACCAGGGCGTTATACATAGGGATATCAAAGGCGCAAATATCTTAACAACTAAGGAGGGGTTGGTGAAGCTGGCGGATTTCGGAGTTGCTACAAGGGCCACTGGCCTCAGCGATTCATCTGTGGTCGGGACTCCCTATTGGATGGCCCCGGAGGTTATTGAGCTAGCAGGAGCTACCACGGCATCCGACATATGGTGACACCCACCGAAGCTTCAGAGATGCTATATGGAAGCTTACAGAATGATAGGAGTGTGGGGTGCACAGTTGTTGAGCTATTGGACGGGAAACCCCCATATCACAAACTTGCTTCGATGCAAGCACTCTTTAGAATCGTCAATGATGATCATCCTCCACTTCCTGAAGGTGCCTCTCCGGTTAGTCCTATGAATAACCGCTTGTGGAGTGGTGGAAGAGACTCATATCTTTCGTTTTTAGGCTGTCCGTGATTTCCTTATGCAGTGCTTCCAAAAAGACCCTAATCTTCGGGTGTCTGCTCGGAAGCTGCTTAAACACTCTTGGATTGTTACTGCCAAACGTGCGGACTCGGTTGTTCGGACACCAACAACGAAATACGATGAAGCCGTTAAGAGCGTCCAACAGTGGAATGAAGCATTGAAGTCGCCTAACGCTGGCGCCTCGAAAAGGCCGCTCCGGAATCCAATCGTCAGTCCTACGCCCCGAAGATATACCAACGACTTCTCAGCTGTAGTGGCAGCTCCAGTGAAGGGAGGTTACAGGGCCTTTTCAGCGTCACGCAAAACTGAGGCCTTTATGTCGCCTGAGAACAATGGTGAGTAGTCATGAATGGCTTTCCGTGGATTGAACCACTGACAGGAGCCACAGATGACGACGAGGACAATTGGGACGACGACTTTGCTTCAGTTATATCGCCCAGTGCTCTCCAGCTCCCTCGCAACAGGGCCCCAGAGAACCGACATTTAGGGGCCGCACAATCATCTGAACGTCTCAAGTCTTTTGCATCCAACGATGGGGCCAATGAGAGCTGGGACGACAATTTCGAGGGCGATCTCACCATCAAGAGTCCTCCATGTGAGTTGCTATTTTGCAGTAATGCCCGCACCGGCGCCCCGCGCTGACATTCTTTAGTGATGTCGGATTTTGACGATGACGCTATGCAAACTATCCGACCCTACTTCCCTCGGCGCCAGAGCGAACCCGTTCCTGAATTTGACCATGACATGCCTAGCTCCCCCAGGCTCCCCATCAGAGAGAAGCAATCCATGCCACCGCCGCCCCCCCCTCCAGTGTTATCACCATCTCCCGCCAAGTTAGTAAAGAAGAAGCTTGTGTTACCATCACGAAATGCCTCCCGCCCGGCTTCGATTTTCAAGGAGGATTCTTTCGAGGACTATTCCGATCTGGCGCCCCTGAATGAAGCTAACTTTGCTAAGAAGGTTGATCTTATGAAGGTAGCATTATATTATATTACCGTGCTCGGCTCTTACATATATCACTACTAACAAGTCTCGATTAGAAGGATGCTTCCTTGAGTCCACGGCTTTTCCACCCATCCGATTTGAAGAGTCTCCCACGTTCTTCCCAATCATCGCAGAACGGGAGCCTTCACCGCAAGGATTCTATCAGTGACATGAAGGCTGCCCACAAAATGCGTAGAACGCGGTCGTCATTGGAGATCCAGAAGTTTGCGGAGCCAGAGGGAGAAGATGATTACTCGGATATCTTCGGGAGTGAAGGCGGCACTGACGAGGCCGGATCGGAGAGTGGTGATGATCAGAGTTTAATGCTAAATACGAAGTTGTCTAATAACTCTTGGGTAAGTCTACTAGACCCCGCTCTGACCATTTACCTTTCTGACCGAGCGATAGCTTGGTGACGAGGACATTGACGAAGAAGACCCTTTTGCTCAGTTGGAGGAAGGGTTCGACGAAATGGGTTTGTATCCTTACCTAGTGATTAAGCAGATTTTGGGTTAACGGTGATTTAGATCTCGAGGCGAATATTGCCAGGGATAAGTATGCTCGTCTTTGCGTCCAAGTTGAGAGCTTGGTTGGTTCATTGAAAATCACTCAGTGTGAGGATGACTTGGATGATATTTCGTCACAATTGGTATAGATCCCCCCGCTCATTACCTCGTATCTTTTTCAGTAAGCTGATGGCCCACAAGATGGACATTCTTTCTGAATCCCCGGAAACGAAAGTCACCATTATCAGCGCTCACGGAATGCTGCCAGTATTGGAAGTCCTAGAAAATTGCACAAAGCGTGAGGTTATATTGAAATTATTAAAGATAATGAATGCTGTTTGTCTCCCTGACCCTCTCCCCGGACCGCACGTGCTCACGATTGGCAGATCATATTCGACGATGTCGAAATTCAGGAGAATCTGTGTTTCGTCGGTGGCATCCCAATTATCACCAAATTTGCCTCCAAAAAGTATCCGAGCAATATTCGACTTGAAGCTGCAGCCTTTGTGCGGCAAATGTACCAGACCTCAACCTTGACCTTACAGATGTTTGTGAGCTGTGGAGGTTTGAACGTTCTTGTCGAATTTTTAGAGGAGGATTATGATGCCCAGAAAGACCTGGTCCTTATCGGTGTCAATGGAATCTGGAGCGTCTTTGAGATGCAAGGTCCAACGCCCAAGAACGATTTCTGCCGCATCTTTTCGAGAAGCTCCGTCCTTCATCCGTTATCACTTGCATTAAACCACGTCCTAGATGAGGATGGCGAGCTATCGCATCTGTGCGCTGAAAGGATTGTGAAGATATTTTATCTCTTTTCACAAGCGGAGAACCATGTCAAGGAGATGGTAGCGGATCGGATTGTGTTGAAAAGTGTGTTACTCCCTTCCCTATCGCCTCATTTCCTCGGATCGCTCACCTTTTTCTGGTAATTAGGGGTTTTGAAAGATTTGAAGCGGATGATCCCCCATCATCAGATCGTCATGCTAAAGTTCATTAAAAATCTGTCAATGTTATCAGCCACTCTTGATACATTGCAGAACTCCAATGCGATCGAGGTCCTCACAGACCTCCTTAAGGATAGCTTGAGTGCTCCTCACTTTAGGGTAAGTGATAAAAACGAGCGTTGGTGGCTTGTGGGCTAACTTTCTGTAGGAAATTTCAAATCAGGTCTTAAATACCATGTACAACCTATGCAGATTGAGCAAATCTCGACAGGAAGAAGCAGCGCTCCAGGGAATTATTCCATTGCTGCAAAGAGTTGTTAGTACCGAGCGTCCTCTGAAAGAGTTTGCACTCCCAATACTGTGCGATATGGCCCACTCTGGCAAGGTTTGTAGGAAGACTCTTTGGCAGAACAAAGGTCTTGAGTTTTATATCGGGCTACTCTCCGACCAATACTGGCAGGTCACTGCTCTTGATGCTATCTTAGTTTGGTGGGGCTTCCTCGGGCTGGCTCGCAATATTCGTGCTGATAATGGTTACAGGTTACAAGAGGAAACTGCGAGAGTTGAGGACAAACTGCTGAGCGTACCATTCACTGCAGCTATAATCAAGTGCTTTAGGGGCTCTAAAAAGAAATCCTTCGAGAATATTCTGGAACCGCTTCAGAAATTGCTACGCCTGAGCCCACAGCTCGCATATGCTGTGGGCAGGCCAGAGTTCTTTGCTCGGATCCTTGAGGAATTAACTCACAATAAGCCTGTTGTCCGGCTGAATCTTTTGAGAATTCTACGAACAATCTGTGATGTTAATGAGCAAAGGGAATTGCTTATCCGGCAATATGGAATGTTCCAGACTATTCAACGTCTTGCAGATCGAGATGGCGCTGTTCTAGTGCGGAATTTGGCTGGAGAGTTAATAAAGCTTTGTCTGGAGAGGGAAAAGAAAAAGAGCCAGCGTCAGAGCAGCAGTAGCCGACGCCGTCAGTCCAGCCTATCATCTTCATCATCCATATCTTCTTTGTCTGCACCCGCCCTTCCCCGTCACAAATCAGATCTTGTGAATATGTGGTCTTACGAGAAGGAAATAGGTGATCGGAATGCGGGGAATGATATGTTATCGGAAATTACTGGGAGCCTTGGCTCCAGTAGGTTAGATGGGAGTGACCGGAGGCAAAGGAGAACGTCGAGCGGCTCAAGGACATCAAACAAGTATATTCCACGCCGAAGTCGTACGAGCACAAGTAATGTCGAGCCACGAGATTGGGAATGACTTGCGGTGAATGATGGATTGAGCACGGCATGTGCAAAAGAGGGGGGCGGCTTGTATTTCTATGCCATTATTATGATAGCACTTTTCTCTTATTTTTGCTTGTCAGGATACTGTACCGTATTCGCTCTGATTCCCACATAGCTGAGCTCTTCTGTTCCATTTCCTTCCTTTCTTTTTTCTTTCCTTTTATCTTTTGCCTTTTCTCGCATTTTGCTAGGGTGGATATGCATTGGGATTCCCGGTTGTCTTTTTTCTTTTCTCCTCCTTTTCCCTTGATCTTCGCAATGTGGTAGAGAGACAAGTCGGGTCATTTTCCTGTATTGTAGCAGCGGGGTTTACGGGGTTGGTAGGGTTGGTGGGGTGCTTCTAGAGTTTGCGTGCCCTGGGGTCCGTGAAAAAACATTTCCGAGGGTTGAGTCGGAGGTATCACATGTCCGGTTGTTGGGGAAATTAGGGCTCTTCCTTCTCCTCTAGACTAATGATATTCAAGTAGATTATACATTCCCGGGTACGATATGATAAATAGTATCATAGTAATAAACGTCTCATCTTTATATCGCACTCATGCGGTCCGCTGGCCATGCGACAATGCAAAGTGAACGAGTGAGAGACATTGGCGGCCTGGAAAAGCGCAGGTGCGAACTAATAATGCTCTAACTGCAATATTCCGACCATTGCTTTAGGTTTTAGTCTCTATGGGCTGAAAACAATGGGCATAGTAGACACTTGTACACCCGAGGATGTTGAAGGTAGCCCAGCACGACACCTTTTATATGGAACACTGCGCGAGCACTGTTACGAATACCGTACCCGAACAACATTCCAGGTCACTTTCGCACCAATTGGTGAGATTGCAGACCCAACTCCGTGTCGTCGATGCTCCTAACGTGCTGAGCACGGAATGGTTCTTTCCATCAGCCCATGTCAGCATCCCAATTGTTTTCAACGGGGCATCATAACGTCGGGGGTTGTCACTTTTGGAAATGTCCTTTTTTGGCGTAAAGCTGGGTTAGTGTCGGACCGAAGGTTTCTAGTATCATAAGTAAGACGGAGGAGGGAAAAGGATTATCGAGACTCGATCATGCATCTGTCATGGTGACCGAAAGGAAAGGGCATGGTCTACCCTACCGGTACTCGAGTACTTGTACCGTACGGTACTGTATGCCAATAAAAAGGGCCCACACTCTCTCTTTATCCCTCCCGAACCCCCCCCCACCCTCACAGTCTTCTCCCGTGCCGTAGTCGATTGCAGCCGCCAACCTAACGAGCCGACGTCAAACACCCCACCACCAAGCACCACTCCCACTTCCACTCCACGTTTTGCAACCAACCAACCAACCAACCATGAGCACAGCAGAAACTCCCCCCACTTCCGTTTCTGTTCCGGAAGGGTTATCCGCGCTCCGGGAGGGCCTGATAAAGCTGAAGCAGGACCGCACGACATACGTGAAATCGCACGACGTCGTGAAGTACTACGATGAGCTCTGTGAGGACATTTGGAAGATCTACGACGTGGGGGAATTCGAGAAGGGTTTTAAGGGCAAGGAGGGATTAACGGAGGGGCAGACCATAGGTATATAGCCTATTCTCGCCTCCCGCCCCTCAGCCCGGATCGGGGCGGTGATAGTTAAGCTTTCAATGCCGGCTGACAGGTGAATGGCCAGAACGCGAGTTGGCAGAAGATTGCTTCATGTTGATTTCACTGTTCTTCCTCACCGTCGGGAGGAATAATGATCCTCCAGCTGTGTACGTGCACCTCGTCGGATGGTACCATATTGACGCACTGATGGAATTTGAAGTTATGCTCCAAGCATCATTATCAAAGTAAGTCATCTCCAGTTGCATCCCTCCCGTTCTCCCCCCCCTTCTGTTATCTATACATCTATGTATCCAGGCACGTAGACTAACTTTCTTCTTTCCTATCAAAAAGCGCCTTTTAGAACATCTCGCCGAGTCCGCCCACTATTCGCAGAAGGATCTAGAACCAATAGAGCAGACACTCAATAATATGCATGAAAACGTCGAGCAGGGCCGCCCACTTTACAATCCGTTAATAATTGCCATGCTCCACGTCAAGATTGTCGCTTGCCAGCAGTCCCTGAAGGTGCTGAAGGCTGCTCTAAGCTCTATACCGCCAGAATTAGCTCATGTGCACCAAAGACTGGTGAGCTTGAGGCGGTGCATTAGAGCCTGTGAGGCTAAGCCAAAGGTGGGTACTACCAGAGATCGCTCCAACCATGGCTAATTGTTTATGATCGGGTTGGCTAGTTCTCTGTATCAGAGGTCATGGGCTATTTGGCGACCATCAAGGAGATCGATACCGCCCGAGTTGGTGGCAAGTTTGTTGCGGAGGATGGCCCCATTCCTTCTGGAGGACAGGGCATCCTCGACGGGCTCCTGCAAACTTGTTATTCAATCATTGATGAAGCATTGAAGAGGTTCGATATGTTGCGAGTAATGGATGGACAGAGGGATTTTGCTGACGATACGAGCTTTTCAGGCAGGGGGCTATCGCACCTAGCCTCAAACCGTTGGCCGAGAAGTTGCTGCAGACGAAGTCCCAATTGGAGAAACTAGAGTTGACCCAGGCGTGGTCACTGCGGGAAACCGATCTCTACGACTTCTACAAGTTAGTTACTGAAATTGATGAATCAAGGAGGGGCGGGAAATTCCTGGATTCTGAAGGGAACACGCCAGAGGAAGGGCAGACTGTATGCCATCAGCTACTCATTTCATTAGTTGGGAATTGTGGTCCTAACATTGGCAAATTTATACCCAGGCTTTGCTTTATATGGTTAGACGATGCTATGCACATATATACAGCCTCATCGGCTCGAGCGAGGCAAGTCGCCCCGCCATAACCACAGGTTATCTCTAACAGTCTTTCGAACATATAGCCCGTCAGCGAGGCACTGACACCGGTCTTCAACCAATTGCAAACCGTACGACGTTGTCTCAAGGAGGTCCAGAAGTTTGGTATTCAGGACGACAGAGAATTGTACCCCTACAGCATGAAGGTACGTAAAGCCCTTTAACCAACCTCACTTCTGAGTATGGGGAGCACTCGACTTGGTAGCCTGGCCTAACCGGTCGACGACATTAGTTGGCTTCAATCGAGAACATGAGGGTAGATGGCAGGTTCATGGTCGGGAACGATATCCCAGAAGGTCAAGGAAGAGTCAATTCGTTGTTGGCTGAATGCTTCGAAATCTGTCACGAGCTTAGAACAAACGGCCAAACCGCTGGAGACCAATGATGTTAAGCGCCAAACCTGTCTGCACTCTTCCAGAGGGTTGAAGTTCGCCTCCACCTCTCTCTGCCTTTCACTTTACCCAGGTTTGAGTGTGAATCATGTGGATGATAACTTAATGGTTGTTGTTTTTTGTGTGGATATCAGGCGCTATTTCAAAGGGGGTGGGTGGATTGCTGTTGATTGAGCTTGGTACCGGTATGTACAGTACTCTGCAGTAGGATAGGGTTCGGTAAAGGAAACAAAAAGAAGTATTATGGCAATATCATGATTCATGAGGGATCAAGTTGAGGTTTTTGGTGCCGTGCTCGTGCGATGATGACGGAGCACCGGGGACCGAGCCCACCCGATATTCCGTAATCCCAGGAAGCGGGTACAGTACCGTAGACTACAGTCGGTATGGGAGAGAGAGATAGCTAAATGACAGTGATGATGGTAATAATAATAATAATAATAATAATAATAATAATAGAACCCTCGAAACACGAAGGGAATTTCGTCCAGTGAGGTACCGGCAGACCACTCTGTCCGTCTGTTATACCGGTACAGGAACAAAACGCCGAATACCGTACCAGATCACAAGTACTCGAGCGCGATAATATGTGAATAGACAAACCCTCCCCGCCCCCTGGTAAAGCAGAATAAAATAAAACAGCGCAACAAGAGCGAGAACGAAGCGAAGTGGGTTAAAGTACGATGCGCAAAATGCAAGTATACAAGCTACCCAGAGCACAACAAGTGCCCTATCACGCCTCACTCCTCAACTGATACCATGCATGCTGTATTGTACGCAAGTACAGTACGACCGGTAAGATACCGTACTGCACTCTCTCCCTTCCCTCCCCCCCGCCTGGCCACCCCAATGACCCCTCTGGGCAGCAGCTCCGGCGGAGGGGGTGGGCCCCCCGAATCGGTCAAAGTAGACCGCACATACAGCAAAGTATGATTCTGTAATCGAGGGCTGCGGTGTATATGTACAGTAGTAACCTGCTTTTTGTTTGTTTGTTTGTTTTTGCTTGGTATATTTATCTTCCCCTTTTGTTGCTACGTCCTTCCTCGGGGGTAAGATCGATGGGGGGGGTACGGTTTGCGTATGGTACAGCACAAAAAGTGTTTTAGACCACCGTACCAGTGCGGTGTTAGTGCGGTGTAGGGGGAGCGGGGGAGCGGGGGAGTACTGCGAGGAAGTGATACAATTGAAGGGACATGATGATGGTGATGCGTTTCCTGTGATCGCTGGATACGGTGTAATGCATAACTCGAGTGAACTCAGTACGGTATCGTGCCGGCAATGCGCTCAAGCACAAGTACTTGAGGCCCACGCTGCATGCGCTTGTGCAGTTGGCGGGCCGGGTTATGGATGATGATGGCGGCGAGTAACTTGAACCCATTCTCCCAAGGCGGCTCATGGACTTTTTCGCTTATCGTATAGTTAGTAGCTTATGCGAGTGATGATTGTTCGTATGGCTGTGCTCAAGTACAGCACTTGTTATGCTTACTTATGGTGATGAAGGATGGCCCCCGCGGCTTGGTTTGGTTTGTTGTCCGGATGACTGCTTCCTTTCTTTCCCCCCGGGCTCCTTCTTTGCACGCACGATAAGTCTCGGATGCTTATTGTACCGTGCTACTTGTAGTAGACTGTGCTCTGCTGCAGTTGGATAAGGGCCGGGAGTTGTGCAGTACATATACTGCACTAGCCACTGCACTCGTATTGCATCGGACTCGAGTACATGCCGGGGAGTTCTCACTTGCTGTCCGGAGAGGGAGATGATTGATCGATTGACAATGTGTAGGGACGGATGCTGAGCCACATGGTAGCAACACAGGTAAAGGGCAGACACTTGTGAGTTACGGGCAATGGTACCGTATATCGTTGAACCGTGGAGTTGCTGGCGGTACGGCGAACTTTTCGTACAAGTTAGTTTGTTTTGTTTTGTTTTTTCAAAAAAGAAAAAAAGTACTGTCTGAGGGAACGAAACAAGGGGCTTATTAACTGAGATGCTCGAGTATGGATTAACTGACAAAAGCCCGTCAGCAGATGTACGCATACGGCAAATGGCAAACCGCTCCAGATTATGCAGAGAGTTCATGATCTCTGGGGAGGTGGGAGTCTCTTGTGGGTTGCCGGTTTTGGACAGGGTTGCCCTCTCTCCATGCTGGCGGGGTGTCGGTCTTCCAAGCCTTCCGCTGGGGCGCCAAGAAAACCGGCTGTTGAGGAACAGGGATCAGCATGATAATTTATGATAGCAGGTATGATAATTTTTGGTTACCCTACCGTACTTTAAAGGTTTCGCTTTTCTCTCTCTCTCTCTCTCTCTCTGCTGACTGTTCTTCACGGACCGACTTTTCGTCGTGCCCTTCCAGTTGAAGACCGTATCGTGACCGTGTTGAGGTTTCGATCGCGGAAGCACTTTGGAATTTTAGGAATGAGCCCATGCACTACCGGTATCCATGTGTACGGATAAGTGAACCCCATTCTTTCAATCACCAGGTCGCGCCTTAACCGTCTATTGCTCGTTGGTTTTCCATTCTGTAGCTAGGGGTATCGGTACGTACCGGTAATGTACTAGTACCGTACTGCACGAGTAAGGTAAGAGCTCTCATACGATACTAAAAGGGAATTGTTCCATCCTAGGACGCTGAAGATACGGGTTGATAAGCTGTCATTGGGATTGTTCCCCGCGGCCGCGCGTTCGTCCTCCCAACATCAATTCAGTGAGGGAACGAGTGGATGAGGCGAGACGCCTCGACCAAAGGTTTGGCCCGCCGTTGGAAGCCGTTGGGGCGGGAATGGGAAGGTGAGGATTGGTGGCTCGTGAGTCCGTGAAAATGGCCGTGGGTATGGTTTCAGCCGGGGTGACCCTAAAAGCCGGATCACACTAGCCACAGACAGGGACGCGTACGCAGCAGCGCAGGAAGGAATTGGGAGAAGGGCGCCGGTTTTGTACTGTACCACCCTTCGACGGGAAAAGGGTCTTGATTCTTGAAGGGGATGAGGGGTGGAGGAGGTGTGAGTAAAATAAAATAAATGGGGAGAGAATTAAGAGCGAGAAGGTTATTTCTATCTGAAAGGTGAAAATTACCTCAAGGGCAAGTCATCATACGAGATCTGGAGGTTGGGGGATGTGTATCCACAAGCATATATACCAGTATATACACATCTGATCGAGGAGCCCGGTGGTGCCGCTCAAAGTCTTTGAAACAACTCCTGCCCCCCGGAAGGTGGTAATCCTTTAGGGTAATTTTATGTGTGATATCGTGGCTTGTCAGCTTTTTGGGAAGGAACCTCTACGTCTTCAAGGATATTTTGGCCGGATTTCTCCCCCGTATTTTATTTTTCCGGGGCAGGATTACGGGCATAGGGTTATGGCACGAGTGGGCACAGTATGATAGTGATGTGATACATGCTCTGAGGCCGTGTAGCATATCAAGGGGGTACCCATAGCATACGTTACATATCCGTAGGGTGATTCGAGATTACAGAAAGGAGCGGAACCCCCCTCCCCAAACGGGGTGAAATATTCAAGAGGCGAAGGGAAATATGGGGCATGAACTGTGCGAGATGCTTCACTTGTATGGTGTGATACTCGTGCCCGTTGTATGATGCTCCACAGAACCCGGAGGCGAAATTGTATGGAGAATGGGGGAGTCCCGAGTTGTGTGTACCGTATGTTGCGGTTCCAGTATGTAGGCAGCAACAACCAGCACTTAGAAGCACCACCAGGGCAGGCCAGCCCCCCGTTCAGCTGCGGGCCAAGGCCCCAGCCAGTTCTCGCCAACCAACCAGCCCTCTGTTCCATCCCCTTCTCTTCCCTCACCAACAAACCTCATCCCTCCACCACCTCCGTCTTCCCGAACCCTCAACTCTCGCTCGCTCGCTCTCTCTCTCTCTCTCTTTCTCTCTTTCTCTCACTGCCTCGCCCTCTCCACAACAACCTTCTCCGCTCCCTCTTCCCTCCCTCATCCACTCCAAAAAAAAAGAGGCTTCTTCATCTCCACACCAGAACCTTTTCCCCTTTCAGCATTACCGCTGTTGTTGTTGTTGTCCACCTCTCTTTATTCCTTCCCACCCACTCCCTGGGCAAACAAATCCGCAACCATCCCCTTAACCGAATCTCTTTTAAACAACATCATTTGGTGAGCATCATTCCTAATCCTCCAAAACTTCATCCCTTTGTGTCCCCCCGCACACACCTGAGTTCAGGAGGTTGGAAACAAGCTTGCCTTTGTTTTTCCTGAGACTCCTATCCCTCCTGTTCCTGCCCCTGCTTTCACCACTTGTTCCTCGTATACCTTTTTTTCTAACCAGCACCCTGCAACCGTTTTAGAAATGGCTGAGATCAGACGCAAGTTGGTCATCGTCGGTGACGGTGCCTGTGGCAAGACCTGTTTGTTGATGTATGTTTCTTAATTCTTCCGCCCTCCAGACCGACTCTTGTTTCAAGCTACTGTTTCACTGACAACGTGTCGAATAATGCAGCGTCTTCTCCAAGGGCACTTTCCCCGAGGTATGCTCCGCATCACGTAACCCGTCTTCGCGATCAATCTTTTGTATCCGGACTTTATTACTGACGAACGTTTTCTGCAGGTCTATGTCCCCACCGTTTTTGAGAACTATGTTGCCGATGTCGAAGTCGATGGAAAGCATGTAGAGTTGGCCTTGTGGGATACTGCAGGACAGGAAGATTACGACCGTCTGCGTCCTCTCTCTTATCCCGACTCACACGTCATCTTGATTTGCTTCGCAATCGACTCGCCCGATTCCCTCGATAACGTTCAGGAGAAGGTACACAGCCCCTTCATACGTGCGGATATCAAGAGTTATTTAGTTTACTGACTCGGGGACTTTGGGTACGATAGTGGATTTCCGAGGTTCTTCATTTCTGTCAGGGTCTTCCTGTCATTCTTGTTGGTTGCAAGAAGGATCTTCGACATGACCCGAAGACCGTTCAAGAGCTTGCCAAGACATCCCAAAAGCCCGTGACTGAGGCTGAGGTATATATCCAATTGATTATACGTAGGCCTGATTCGGGCATGCTAATGTTTTATACAGGGTGATGCCGTCAAGAAGGTCATTCGCGCCGACCGTTATCTGGAGTGCTCAGCCAAGACCAACGAGGGTGTCCGTGAAGTCTTCGAGCACGCTACTCGCTGCGCTCTACTGCAGAAGAAGCCTAAGAAATCAAAGTGTCTTGTGTTGTAGGTTTGGGATTAAGGGTTTTTTTTTTTAAATTTTTTTTAGATTGGCAGCAATGGTAGTTCCGGGTTTGGTGATGGTGTTTTAAATCAACGGTGTGGCATGTGCTTTCCTCCCCCGTTTTTTTTTTTTCGAGAAAAAAAAAAAAAAACTACTACCCTCTGCTCTGGTGCTGGAAAATATGCTGGGGAAATGTCATGCACGGGAGATTAAAGCAACGAGTCAAATTGGCAAGGTATCGTTCAGTTCGGTCAATATAGCGCAAGCCGATGCGAGGGAAATATCCGAAGGTTGTATTTTTTTTCTTTCTACTTTTTTCGCTCTCCCTTGTCTTTACCCATCCGTATTTTATTTTCTCTTTTTGAAATGGTGCTTTGTGTTGGTCACATGAGAGATTCCTGGTTTGGTATTTTGTCTTAACAGTATGTTTTTTTTTGCTTCTCTACCCTCTGCCGCTGGAAGGGATAATTGTCAAACATAGGTTGCTTTATTATTTCCTAGCACCCGTATTTAAGACAGCGGAAGTCCAACTACGAATTCCTTGTGATAGCAGTTTCCACTATATCTCAATTTCTCTCCAGGTTTGTAATGCACCTTTTCCAGAATCAACGACTCAATAATGGAGGGAAGTATCAACAATGAAAATGGAAAGTGAAAATATGGCAAAAGGAGGAGGGAAAAAAAAAGGGGGGGTGGTCCAAATGGTTATGCACTCGATCACTTGATTTCCAAGTTTGATAAATGATCATATACCCCATTTCGTTGATGGTGCTTCTAGAAGAGCACAGGAAAACCTTTTTTGTAATCTGCCTTACTTAAGAGTTTAAGGATCCAAATCCATTGCGTCCCCGTCGTTGCCGTCGTCGTTCTTGACAACGCCTTTTGCACGCTGCTCCCTGATCCACGCCTGTATTTGGTTTTTGAGTTCGGTGTCTATTTCCCCGTCGTCAGTTCTGCATAACACGTACGGGAAGGGGCAAAGGGTGAACGCACTCGGAATGACATCTTCGACTTTCAATGGGGATCTATTAAAGGGGTCTAGAGGATTGCCTAGGAGATGGATTCTAATAGTTTGACGATCGATAGTGACTCTTGAAGAGGGGAGGATCACAGGATCTTCCATTAGCGTCGCCATCAATGGATCTGCGGAAACTGTTAGCTAAATGTGTCCGACCCATTGGGAGAATGATATATGTGTGTGTATATTAGGCATATAGAACGTACCCAGGAAGTCATCCGGAATCTCGCCAAGCTCCACCTCACCCTCCTCCTCCTTTCTCTTAGTCTCCTCTATGTTAGTAGCAAGCTTGGCCAACAGTGCGATATCCGGTGTTCCCTTCAGATTGTTCTTTTCCAGTATGCTTAGGAGCTTGGTGAATAACTCTGGGCGGTAGGAACGGCCCTCTAGTGCGATCGCTTTGACAAACGGCTTGAATGTGCGCAGATTGAGATAGACGTCCGTAATTTCCGAGAGTAGTGCCTTGGGGTTGAATTTGTACTTCTCTGGATTGCGTACACAGAGGTTGTTACACTTCGGGCCCACAAGGGCCTCAAGATTAAAGTTCAACATGCCGGCCAATGAGGTAACAATCTCTGGCTTGACAAATGCGCCGGGAATCGCAGACGTGAACAGCTTCAGCATTGCTACCGTTTCATTGCCCAGGGACATGTAGGATGTGGCGTCCCGCTCGGCTTTAGCTAATGCCTTCTCTTTATCGGCTCTGTCCTGAGTTGTGAGGTTTGATGATTCATTCTCTAGCTCGAGCTGGAGCTTGTGGATATCGGCCAAAGCACTTAGAGAATTGTGCAAGACATATGTTACATCACCTAGAAGAAGTGCAATAAATTGAACGAAAAAGTCGACGTTTTCCCTTAGCAAGACATCAGTATTGCTCACGATTATATACCATTCTCCAAGGGATATGTACTCACTTGCTCTCCCGATCTAGCCTTTCTCTAAAGGCAAGGTTTGGCCATATTGATTTGATGATCTCCGAGATGTGGTACCGAACAGTAAATCTTTCGTAGTACTGTCGCTCAATCTCTATGTCTATATATTAGCCTGGCGGGCGGGCGGTGGAGAAGGCGATATCTGAGGGACATACCAATATAGAAGTTCATAAGGGCGTGCATGAGGTTCTGGAGAGCAAAGGGGAGGCCGTTAATAGCATCGCCCAGTATACCAGTGGACTTTCCTCGGTATGGATTGATACCATAGTAGAGTATCTCCACGAGTTTCGACTTTACGCTGGGCTTCCGGATGTAGGCTGACATGTCAAGAAAGGTGATGCAGAAGATAACGAGCTCATCCACTTGCGTAGTCACAATGCATTCCGGGAGATACCTTCCCACAAATCCGAAGCAAAGCCCAATGTCTTCCACGAAATACTCGGGCAAACAACTGAATCGTTCCGATGGTTCCTCAGGAAGCGGTAACCTATTCGAAATTAGCATTCAGCCACCTTAAGGGATAAGAGATGCAAGCACGAACTCTATCAGCTTCTCTGGGTAATCGCGAGTCGGTGCAACAACACGTAGCAGCCAGGTTGTTAGGTACCGCATGAAGAAAAGTGTCCGTGTTTGCGACAGACCATCGAACAGGAAGACCTCAAGAGCACATTTGTATGCTACACCCTGGTCTATCCGCTCCTTCATGCGCTCAATATTTCGATCCCATGTTGCAAGCTGCGGCAACTATTTATCTAATTAGCAAGCTGGCGGAGCGTGGTGAGCAGCGAAAACGTACATCGAGCCACTTCTGCCTCTCCGCCATGAATCTCTCAAGATGTTTTTCCATCTCTCCAATGTCTTTTGTCAATTGGTCATGTGTAGTCTCTGCCGCCCTGAGGCTGTAGTGATGTGCGGCAACATTTAGGAAGAACACCTCGGATATGAAATTGTTCGATCCTTCAACTTCTTTAGAATAATATTCGTTTGCCCGGCTTTCATCTACGTTTATCTTCGTTTCCTCACAAATGTCTAAACGTGGCTGCCGTCGGAAGTATTCGACATCTATTTTATCAATCTGGTTGTGTTTCAGCAAACTGCAAATTGAAAATTATGACTCAACAGGGCGAAAATTCAGAACTGACTTTGGAGAACGATGCATCCATGAATGGTTCACAAAGTTTGGTCAAAACAGCGTTGATGTTGAGCATAAAACCATCTGAGGCTACAGTGGCGGGATCCACTTGGATAGCACCACGCTTCAAATTCAGATTGATCACACGGGCAAAAAAGTCAAGAACCTTCCCTCTAGCCTCCAGTGAACTGCGAATTATCATCATAACAATCTGATGTAATTGATCCTGGGAAACTCGGTCAGCCCCAGACCCATGCAATATCGGTTGTAAGCTTACCTGTAATGTCTGGAGTGAAAGTCGCAACGCCCTGGTTGCATCGTTGATACTTGTTGGAGGTTTTGTCTTCGCACCTGTAAAATAGGCTTTGCAAACCGCTGTCTAGGCGAAAGTTTAGACTACAGCCTCAAAATACGGAACGAGAGTAGGGTTGGTAATACCTGGAGGGGCGAGATTTGGAAATAAGGGCCCAAAATTGTTTGCTTTTCTAAAAGGTTGGCCGGAACATCTTCCGGAGGAGGCAGAAACTCCGGTAGATTTACTAACATGCCGATGATAGGTTTATGATGCATAAGCCTCCCGAGGGCGGTTATAAAGGGCTTGTAGTTGTCTGTCATGCTCATTTCGCTCAGCGTGCTACTCAGAGTTCGAAGTGCGTCCCGGAAGTATTGGCCCAGATCGGGGTTGTCTTGCAGTCGACTCACGAGGTCGTTCAGAAATTCTTGAGGAAGTCCGCGATCTTCGTCCGAATCTGCTTGTAACCGGTCCGCTAGTTGGATAAGAGCGCGTTCGTTACTATTATATATCAGTGGGAAGAATTAGAGACCACATATTCCTCTGCTAGATGCTTACCTGAAAACATCGGGCATGGAAACACAATATTCTCCATAATTGAGGCAGAGTCTCTGCGCAGTTTGAAGGATATTTCTTTTGTGATCGTCCATTCGGGATGCAGGCGTCGTACGTTGCATGTTTGAAGCTCTCCTCCACGACCCCACAAGGTAATCCATGGGAACAACTTCTGGTCTAGCGCATACTGAGAGTATTAACTGATCAAGGATCGCAACGTCAATGCGTGGACCTAGATAAAGTCAGAATAAAGGCTCGTTGCGGGGGGAGAGAGCATCATAAACTTACGTTTACCTTCACTATCCAACTGTTCCTCTAATTCCTTCCGCAGATCATCCAAGATATACAGTCCAGCCGAGCGGGGCCCTGGCTGTAGACTATATTAGCCTCCACAACCCAAGGATGCTTGAGAAATCCTTCGAAAGAATAAATCAACCCGAATACCAACCTCTAGGGCAACTCGAAATATCTGCCTCAGCACCTTATCTTCCCACGCCTCCGCAGCCGTAAGGACGCCTGAAGGGGGATTGCCTACGGCTGGCTGAGTTTGTGGCGACTTTGTCAACAAGGGTGCATCTGGCGGCGGGGATGAAGCTACTCCTTCTGATGTCGACTCCGATGGTCTATCCGGAACTTGAATTGTAGGTGTCTCTGTGGTGGGAAGAGCTTGGGGCCGAGGTCTCGAGGCTTCGTTCTCTTTCTCAACGGGCTGGGAAGTGCTCGCTTCCCCATCGTGGGGAGTAACAGAGAGTTTGGGCGAAGAGGATCCCGCAAGTCGCGCAAGCCTGGCGAGTCGCTTGTCGCGAATCTAGGCCAAGTTAGTGGCAGGGCTCTGGGTTGTCCTGAGTAGTGCGGAATATCATACCGCATCTGCATCCGGCCCAGGATTAGAGGACATTTCCCTTTCGCAAAACCGAACAGACAAACTTAAGCGGAGTTTTTTATTTATCCTGAGTGAAGATTAGATTATTGTTGTTGTGCTGTGACAAACTAGAGGGAGGCCGGGAATTGGAAGTTGAGGGCTGGAGGGGGAAAAGGGCGAACGTGGGGCTAAGGCAGCATCCGCAGCGCGAGTTCTGGTTGCTCGTGTTTAACACCAACTACGCGGCCGGGAGTCATGCCGCGCGCAAACGCCCTCGGCACATGAGCGGGCAACTCTAAAGGTTTCGGGCGGGTTACTGGGACGAGTGAAATTCTATGATTGCTCATAGCCACAAAAATAGCACGGTACCGTAAGAACTCAAATACAAGAGAAATGTGCTAGGACGTTGGAATTCCCCTTCTCGACAAAGCGTGGGAAAAACACCGCAAACTCAGCCCTCAGCTAAGACAAAACAAAAGGAATATACACGGCGCCATACTAGGAGAGGCAACTGCAACGTCCTAGCACATTTCTCTTGTATTCGAGTTTTTACGGTATCATAACTCATGTCCACCATCCCGCAGTCAACTTATCATACAGGAATCTTGTTGCCCCTGGGAGATAGTTTGCCCATTCCGATTTTCAAGCTTCTAGGTACCTACCCTACCGAATTACAAAGCCAGCACATCCAAGCTGACTCACTACATGCCGTACTCCCTACCACGCTTTGAACAATCCGATGATAACCACTATATTACCATGGTCACCACAATTTCAAGATATCTGCCCCCGGGAGCACAGTAAATTCCGCCCATGGGTTTGTGATTATTGCGAGCCGCTCTCACATGGGAACTGGGAGAGCGCCCTGATAGAGCAGTCTAATAGATCATGAAGCCATTGGCTGTCCAAGCAATGTTCCGAGGGAAGAAAGAAAAAGAAAAAAACAGAAGCCAGAGAAACACACATGCTACAGTGGCAAGGAGAAGGAGGGAAAAACAAAACTAAACAGCTAGCAACAAGTCCATGAACTCCTATTTATATCCCCAGTATATTTACAGAGTGCAGAATGTTACAGTGGGAAGCTGAGAATATTAAGACGAAGAGGAATAAAATCATGCCTTTTCGGAGCCAAACACGGATGTCCATAACTAGAAGCGGGTAAGATAATCTGGAAGAGCAAAACTAGTGGGTATATCAGGAAACTTACGTCCTTACTTCCATCATACGCGTCGCCGAGAGTAGGTGTGCTTGGGGAGCGATGGAACAGGGTTAACGGAGGTGTCTTGAGAGTAGTATTGGAGGAGGAATTTGCTGCAGTGCCTGGGCGAACCAACCCAGCCTTTTCACGTTGTTCTGTCAAGGAAGGAGATTTATTCAGTAAGCATAACTAGAGGTAGTGGGGGAGTGTCATACCGTCATTCCAATCAAGGACAGAAGCGATTAACTGCAGTACTTCGTATTTCTTCGTGTCACCTCGCTGAATGCTCACGAATTGGAGGAAGACATTGGTAACTAGTTGCCTATGTCCATATTAGCGAGCATTATTACGAGCATGAGCATGGGATTTTCAGTCAATTACTTATCAATCTTGTCGTCCGCGTTGTCACGCTTGAGCATCCGAAGAGCTTTCCGCAGATGGTCGTTCAATGTAACGGCTAGTTCAGCATAATATGCGTTAGGATATGTTCCGTATGAAATATGCATGACACGACATATACCTTCATGCCGAAGCTTCCCGATCAAAAGACCCTTTTCCTTAACCTCCTTTTCAAAGGGTGAAACACGATCAAAGTCTTTTTGTGCTTGGAGCAGTTGGGACTATGGTCCTGGTCAGTCATATCCGCAGTAGTTTATGATTTTGTCCGAACCGTACCTCTACTTCTTTCGTACGTTTCTCCAGGATCTCTCCTTTCTGGCTGAGTTGAGATATTTGAGCTTGCGTACTCTCAACAACCTCCCTAAGCTCTTGTTTACGAGCTTCCCCCCCATGTCAGTAAAAAAGAAAAAAGAGATTCAGGAAAAAGTAGCAGCTCACACACCATTTTGTATATCTTGCAGGGATCTCTGTAGACCAGCGGCTGCGTTAGATTCCCTCTCTTTCTCTGCGACAGCCTTAACATATGCTGCTTTCTGGGTGGATATCTGATCCTCAAGCTCAATGAGCCGCTCTCCCAACGACTCGCGAACGGCTCGCTCCTCAAGGGCAATGACTTCCCAATCCTGCATAGCGTGCTTAGTAGTTTCATATTCTTCACGCAAAAACTGTTCTGCGCTAATCAGGTCCTCCCGTTCCTTTGCCCAGTTCTGTTGAGAAAGGTTCATGCGGTTCCGGAGAATAGTTAACTCCTTCGAGGCTTCCTTACTGGTCTCTTGCGATCTCCCCAGCTGGCCATGCAGATCTTTGATGCTCTCATTAAGACTTCGGTTTTGGTCCTCTAGCTCCTCCACCATGCCTCTACAGCGCTCAAGTTCTTCCTGTACATCAGAGGATCAGCTTCAATGCTCTGAACTCGCAAGCTAATCCCTACTTACGGCATCCGACTTCAGCCTCTCACCAAGGGTACTCTTGATGGTTGCTACTCGGCCAAGTAGCGTCTTGTACTGTGTATCGAGAGTCTGCTTTTCTTCTTGCACCTTGGCTAGCAGTTTTTCTGTGTCATCTAGATCCTTTGCACTCGCCTCCTTCTGATCCGTAAGAGATCTGCGGAGTGCTGAGGCTTCTGCTTGCCGTCTTGAGAGCTCCATTTCCAGACCCTCAATGTGTTTTTTGAGCGAATTTTGAGCCCCTGGTTCCTTCACGGACCCAGGACCCTCTGGCTCCCTCACCTTCGCAGCATCCTTCTTCATACTTTCCACCAATTCTTCCAGCTCTCTAGCTCTCCTCTTTTCCCTTTCCAACTCTTCTCGCAATCTTGCGCTTGCGGCGTCACTGCTCCCCGTATGATTCACAGCAGTCTCGTTATCACTTCCATCGACATCGAACGCTAAGGAAAGGCCTTTGGGGGTATTCGGCACTTCTTTTTTTGTGCTGCTCTATCACAGCTATTAGTAAATGCTTCTGAGATCAGTGCAAGGATAGCGAACAACCGTAGCTCTAGATGGGCTGTGTGCTTCGTCAGCCACTTCGACCTCACTGTCATTGTCGGCTCTATAGTTTGGGCCGCCCTGATGAGGTGTAGTTGTAGGTCTCCCGCCGGTATTCCCACCATTCTTCCTCTTCCTATTCCCCTTCTTCTTGCTAGGCGCTATACGTGGGGTTTCCATTGCGATCAGCCGAGAACTGTAGGGGAAAAATCTCGCCAACGCCGGGGGTATGTCAAGGGCTCAAGGCAAAATTCTTACCAGCGATGTGGGCGGTCGCGGCTTGGGTGTTTTGTTCCATGGCCGTCCGTACTGGGGGACCCGGGGGCTTGGGGATGGATGACTGACCCTTCCGTGTGTGTTAAGTTATAAGTGTGATATCCGTACCGTGTATCCAATCTGGCGCCTTGGAGCAGCAACTTCGAAATCCCGGTAACTTGCGAGTACAATTCATTACAACCCGTGACATCGTGCTACGCCAAGGCCTTCCAGAATAATGAGATGTGCCTATAAATATCCGGTGCACCCCCGAGGTGACTTCCAGCCTTCTGACTAAAACCGGGTAATCGATTTGCTCACATGCCAACAGTCGGGAGGCGATCAGAATCACAATGTCAAAGCGAACTGCTGGGTTTTTTTTATTGCTTGTATTTATTATTTTATTTATTTTCTCTCTAAATTTAATGGTAATGATATCATACAATATTCAATCCTTCGTGTCCCCGAGACAATTCCCATCAACGGAAAGGTTTATAAATAAAATAAAAAAGTGAAAATGGTGCATTGTCCAAATGTTCTGAAGAAAGTCGGTGTCGGTACTGTACGTTGACGGACCAAAGAAAGGCCAACGAAAGGCATCCTGGGACGAAGAAGGTACAAGTGTCAGGCCTCTTAACAGCACTAGGGCATTCCAATAATTAGTTTTCATCCTATACCACTGCCGAATCGACTTCAGGAGTTTCCCTGGAATTTCCCGAATAGATATGAAATTGTATGAAAATCTGCGCCTGTCAGAAAGTAATATCTGGTGGCGGAAAAGGGGTCTCTTACAATGACATCCTGGGACATTGTTCCAAAACTCCCAAGTAGCCACGGAAGGTTATCCCTGATGTATGCAGAATCGCTAGAATGGCATAGTATCTAAGAAGCGGTGAGCAAAATTGAATCCTTGAGACACAAACGGGCAACCATACCCCTGCCCCATAAGCAAGATTTCCCAGAAGAGAGAGTAGGAAAAAGAGCAACGAGAGTCCTTCATCAAACCATTAGTGTTGTGACTAAGGGATTGTAAGACCCAAACACGGACCACCACATGATCTGTTATGGTAATTCCTAATTATCTGGGGAATCCGGGCACTGTAAGAGATGTTAGAAGGGAAACCTCCATTGATAAGTGTACACTTACCCGAGATATAGTAAAGCGCTGAGGTATCCCAGCATCTCAGCACCTCGTGGCATTTCTTGGTCATCATCACTCCTGTTGGTGGCAGACCACGCACCACTCCTCCAGGCGACGAACCAACCCAATGCCCCCGCAAAGCAGATGCCCACTATAGCCAAGATATTCCTCAAAACAGCCATTCTGGCACTCGTTCCTTTCTCGAGGATAGCTGATAGAGAGTCCGGGCGTCTTGCGCTAGACCTCCGATGACGTGACTTAGCACCTGAGCTCTTGCGACGGGGACGGGAGAGCAGTGGTCGGGCCGGATCTTGGAGATCCGCAGGAACAGAACTTTGTGTGCGCTCACGGCTAGCAGCAAGAACCCCGGTGACGTGATTGTAGTATACTGTCTGGGAAAGTAGAATCGCATCTGACACACAGAAATAGATTGCGAGAGCGATCACCGTGGAAAGCAGATGGCCCCATAAGGCACCTGAAAATACAGGGCAGGCGATGTCAGCTAGCTGTAGGGGAAACATCGCTATCTAAAAATATAGGGGTGTAGAGCCACGAGGAATCAGTGGGATTTTTACCAATCAAATTAGCAATATCTCCGAGAATCCATATGGCAATAAATGCGAGAGAAAGTCCTTCAGCACTGCCGTTCCTGTAATTTTCGATAACTTGTGGTACCTGAAGCCAGAAGAGTATTAGCACAGAAGCTTCATGAGCACGTAGAGTAAACTCCTGAGTGTTCAAGAGATGGGGGGGGGCATTCAGAACCCGAACCAATTGAGTCTTGCCGATACTTACCAAAAGAAAGATCCATGACACCAGTGAAATGGATCCCATAATCCCAGACAAGGCTTCTCGAAGAGATAATGACCCTGCACCTGCAAGGAGGAGAGCCGCTGGACTGATCATAATTGATAGAGCGGGCAGTGTTTTTGTGTCAGTCGTACAAGTATAATCATAGGAAACGGGGCGGCGGGGCAGGAGGTTGGAGATCCCTTTTCCTGAGAACTGGGCAGGCAAGATTGGAGTTGAGATGCTTGGGCCAATCAAAGGAAGAGGGCTGTTATCTTATCCGATTTCGAGTTAGGGTGCTCGGCTACCAGGGTTGGTCCGTGAATGCCATGAAGGAATGGTCGTTTCTGATATCATACTCATAACGTATCTCATGTAGAAACCGGATATTACCGAGAAGCCGGATGTCTCAGAGACTGAGTCAGCACTGGATCAACCCCCGCATTTAGGGAACACCTATTGAATACAGATACAACAACTTATCAGTATACTTTCGACGATCAAATATGGCTCACATAAAGCCCAGACAGTTGTCAAAATGCAAGCGGGAAGAGCGTATCTGGACAGCTTTGGTGAAACAACAAGAGGAAGGGACACCATGGGCGACGCTGGAGCTTGAGTATGGGATTCCAGGGTCCACGCTGAATGATCGCTGGAAGGGAGCTAGGAATCGGCGTGATATGCATGTTCATCAACAGAAACTGCCCCCAATGGAGGAAAAAGCTTTGGAAGAGTGGTGCAAGCAACTAGATGATTGGAGGTTTTTTCCAAGAATGGATCACCTACGTGGCATGGTGAACATGTTAGCAAAACAATGAGTAGAGCAAGAGGAAGACCCCAAACTTGCAGTTCTTGGAAAGTACTGGATGACCAGGTTCCTCGACCGCCATCCTGAGCTAGCGGAAAAGTTTAGTACTCAAATCGATCAGCAAAGAGTCTTTGCCAATAATCCTATAACACTAAGAGACTATTTTAGCAAGTTGTAGAGATTATACCAAAAATATTATTTTCAACCTAGAGATGTATGGAATATGGATGAAAAGGGATTCAAGTTCATCCTAGGATTTTCTGTGAGGGCGAAGGTGGTCTGCTGGGCAGTAAGACAAAATCCACATGTTGTACAAGATGGATCACATGAGATATTAACTGTCCTCAAGTCAGTTTGTGCATATGGGATACTCTACCACTGTTCATTGTTTACAAAGGCAAGGGTTACTATATGGGATAGCATGTTGAAACCGATGATTCTAAGGTACGCTTTGCTTATAACAAAAATGGTTGGACAGATGATAAGCTTGGACTAGCATGGCTGAGAGAGTACTTCAAGCCAAAAACACATACAAATCATACCAAACTTCTGGTTCTTGATGGGCATGGATCTCATATCACTTGGGAATGCTGTCAGTTTGTCCTTGAGCATGAAATTCAAATCCTTTGTCTCCCAGCTCACTCCACTCACCTCCTTCAACTACTCGATATTGGGATTTTTGGGCCACTTTAATATTACTATGGGAAGGCCGCTGATACTCACATGTTTAATACCTGCACACGAGTAAAGAAGGAAACCTTCTGGAGCTTCTACTAAGAGGCTAGATGGTTTACGTTTTTATCTAAAACGATACAGTCTGTCTTCCAGGCTACTGGTATCATTCCTTTTAATCCAAATAAGGTATTAGTAAAGGTTACCAAAGTCAGAAAAACAATGACTTCCTCCTGCCCTCAAGGAATTTGTTCTACTCCATGTAATTGGTCTCAGCTCCGGCGACAGGCAGTTGTAGTAACAAATTTTTTCCCCTCTTCCCTGTCACAATCACATCAAACTTACTTTGCTGTCATTCTATGTCTTACTGACCTTGCAGAATGTGCTCTTATGGAGGCTGAAATTGTAAAGACAGAGGCACAAAAGCTGAGGGAAGGGTATGAAGGCAAGTGAGCAGCTAAGGTAGACAGGAGGATACTATTGAAGGCTTGCATTATTACTGGTAAGGACGTTATCCGGCTTGGTATGGAGTGGGAGGAAAAGGAGAAGAAGAAGAAAAAAAAAACATTTTGCCGGGCAACCAACATCCTCCATGCAACCCTCTACCCCCTCCACTCCTTCTCTATGTCATCAGTTACGTTGGATTATAATTAGAGAAACACCAGATATTATCGAGTTGTACAGTTCTTCTTCCACTACTTCCTCGGAGTCAGATAGAGGGTTTTCTATTTCAGCAGATCTAGCAACACCTACTCCATCCCATACAGAACTCTCAATTGTTGCTCCAATACTCAATACTCCTACTAATCCAAACTGACATCTTCCCAACTGAACCCTGGAAATGCACTTATGTTCTCGCCACTAATTTCATTTCTCTTCATCTTTCTATGATGTTTCCGGTATGTGGTTTCCCCCTCCCCCTATGAGATCAGCTATGAATTCAGTGTCTAAAATGTTTGGTACTAACAAATATTATAGTCACCTGTGAGGGTATTTGAGCATTTACTTTTCTTTTGTTTGGAGTTAAAACTTTGATTTTTTGGTAGTTTATCATGTGTGGAGCATGTTACACAGGCCTTGTCATGAGACATCTGATTACTCAGTAATATGTATTATCTCTGTGAGATACGTTATGGGAGTACGAGTGTAGCTGAGAGATATATTAGTCACGTTGGTCTGATAAGATAAAAATTTGGTTGGCCTTCTGGTTGTGGTGTCCAGAGATAATGCACATGACTAATATATTTATCAGCTGCACTCGTACAGGTAAGATACTGGTATGCAGCTAAGTTTATTGATCGAAGGCGGGGGGGATTCGGTGAACTCTTTGAGATCCCTTATTTTCTGGAAGGGGTAAAATTTATGCATACCAGCTTGACTGATACTTGATAATATTATAGATCTCCTAACCAATACCAGTAGAGGGATTTCTGTGAGAGTAATGGACATAGAGGTTGTTTGGTACAAGCAGTTTGTCAATTCAAAACGTGTTTAAGGGAGTAGTGATGCCAGGAAATAGGCTTAATATACCATTGAATATGCATTAACTACTATTAACTACTTGGGATGAGATTAAATGTCCGGAAATGGGGACCTATAGGCTATGGCATCATAAGTTTACAATGCAATTGCAATTAGCTGCTTATGAACATTTAATCTCAACCGGGGGGAAATTCAGGAACTGTTTATATTGACTGAAAACGCGTTTTTCAGCCAATTAACTGCTTTTGCCAAGCAGCCCTACCTTCCTCCATTGATACACCTTTGGTAGGTGTCAGCATGGAGCGGGAGCTCCTACTAGTCGAATGTAATGATCCTATATTCGTATATAAGCTATGACAACCTGTATCTATGCCCATACAGGAGACTAAGAGGTTAAATGGTTGAATGGTGCATACATGCAAGGATGTGAAATCTTAGACCAGTTGGATATACTATGATTCAGGTTCTACTATGAGCAAAGATACTTACTTGTATACTTAAGTACTATGATACAAAATTGTTAAGAATCCTACTGGGGCTGGGGGTGCGACAGGTAACGATTCTTACTTACTTGGAAAGGTAATAGTTCTTAGGCCATTGTCTACATAATACTTGATAGTCACATCCTTTTAACTCCTGTCTTCTCGTGCCAATTACCTTAATCTGCTTAAGTCCTTGCTTAGGACTTAATCGTTCGATGTGGGAGGAAAGACAATTCTTAGGTTCTTAAGATAAATCTTAAAGAGCGTAAAGGTGGTTTTTAATTGTAAAATATAAGTATAGGAAATAAACTAGAAGAATGTGTAAAGAGCGCATACTCGGGGTTCTAGTGACTCTTTAGATAGTTACTCTTCACCTGGCATGACTCATACCTCATGTCACATGAACCCTGTGACTCGTAACTATAAGTTATACGAAATCCATCATCTGACTCCAATGAGTTGCTGTGCAACATACCTAAAACCAATCAAAAGATAATAACCAAGTCAGGTGGGAAACTTGCATCACCTGAGTGAAACCCATGACTCATAACTTGAGTCAAGTACAAAAATGATAATATCATGTGACTCACAACTGGGAGTTATGAACAGATAAAAATAATAACCTATGGTGCACTAGTATGTGTTATGTGAAATCCCAATATACCTATAGTTCGGGATTCCGAACTATGTAATATCTGCCTTGCTTAGTTATAGTTTGTGACATAGTTAGATAAATGAGACAATACAGAACCTAAAGAAACCCAACCTAGTGACAACCCCAACCTTCTAGCACAGTATGAACCTTATGTGACATTTGGCCTATGGGACTAGACGTAATAATAATAAGAGCAAAACTATCACCACCTCCCAACAGTAACTGACAACCATCCAAACTCCATTTAAGCCCTGGGGGATAATAGCAACTACTCGATATCCGAAAAGGTGGTACTATGTCTCCAGTGTTATTTCTCCCACCTAGCCTAACATGGCTCCTAGCACATTGCTGCAAGACATTCTTAGGGTTGTGTAATGTGTCGGGTACAGATCAGGTCTGCGAGACTGAGCGCCCCAAGGCGCTACACCGCAACATCTGTCTAGCCACCGAGTCACATCAGGCCGAAGCCCAACCCAGACCTCAGAGTGACTACGTATATCCGATACCATGATGACTGACTATTATTTGCTAGCACTGCTATAGCCTAACTGCAGCCACTTATATAAGCCACTACCCCAGAGAGCCTACTCTCTGAACGACTAGCGAAGGTGTTAAGAATCCTACCGGGTGTGGGGGTGCAACAGGTAATGATCCTTAATTTGTATTGAGGTAATAGTTCTTAGGCTGTTGCCTACACGATATCGATAGCCAAGTCCTTTGACTTCTATCTTATGGTGCCTATTCCTCTATTCTTTTTAAGTCCTTGTTTAGGACTTATTTGTTTGACGTGGGAAGAGAGACAGTTTTCTCTCTTGGGAGGAAAGACAGTCCTTGGGTTTCTTAAGATAAATCTTAAAGAGCATAAAGGTAGGTTTTATTGTAATAACTTTAACGGTAGGAAATAAACAAAAAGAACATTTGAAGAGCTAATACTTGGGGTCCTAGTGACCCTTTATATAGTAGCTCTTCACCTGGCATGACTCATACTTTGCATCACCCAAACACTTTGACTCATAACCATAAGTCATATGAAATCCATCAGCTGACTCCTATGAGTTGCTGCGCAACATACCTAAAACTAATTAAAACATAATATCCAAGTCAGGTGCGCAACTCGCATCACCTGAGTGAAACCTATGACTCATAAATTGAGTCATATGCGAAAATCATAACATTGTGTGACTCACAACTGTGAGTCACGAACAGGTAAACATAATAACCTATGGTGCACTAGTATGCATCAT